TGATGTTGGGGATTCCAGGGCTGGAGCAGCTCTGCAGGTGGGGTCTCACCTGAGGGGGCAGAATCCCTCCCTCCCCTGCTGCTCAGGCTGTGGGATCAGCCCAGGAACTGGGATTTGGGACTTCTGAGCCCCAAGGTTGAAGGGAGGCAGTGGGGGAGGACTTTGGGGGGCTATAACCAACTCCATCCAGCAGCTCCCAAGAGCTCTCCAAACCCCTCTGATCCTTGAATCCTCAGTGCTGCTCCAAGGAAAATCAAATTGCTCGAGACCACAAACAGAAAATCAGAAGTGCTGCCACTTGCACACTGGTTCTTTTTGTGAAATTCAGCATTAAATGCTGTGCTTTGTTCCAAATCTGAGCCTCAGGATTGATTCCCAGCCCCATCCTGCACTGCAGGAATGCCAGGGAGAAAGGGGGGGGGCATCAGGAGAAGGGATTGAATCCTCCTGATGAAACTCCTGGACTGAGCAGAATCCATTAAGGCCTAAATTGTCCCTTAATTTAAATTTAACGGGCGATATCAAAACCTAATTAAAAATCAAACAGTGGGGGAAGGAGAAAAGAAGGGTCTGACAAGTGATGAATCCACTTGACCTAAAATTGGTTGGAGGCACAAAATTGCATTTGGAACAATGGTTGTTTATTAAACTCCTTAAAACCATATTGAATTGGATTTTTGCTTAAATAAGCAGCAAGGAGGAATTAATTTAGTGGCCTTGAAGCTACTGAATATTGAAATATTGTGGAGATGCAAATGGGGCTTGGAGATCAACGGGATTGGAGGGGTCTTATAACCAGGACTGAATTAACCCTGGGACGTTTATGTCCCACCTTAAACCAAGACTTAATTAGGGATGTTTCCTGGGGGACAGGAGGATCTTGGGATGAGCCTTTCTGGGGAAAAAACAAGCAGGAAAAGGGTAAAAACTGGGTGTTTTCTGTTGTGTCGTTAATGGGGAGCAAACCAGGAATTAAAATCTTACTAAACTCCCACCCCAACAGTCCCCTGAGGGCTGTTTGAGCCCCACTTGCTGTGTTTTCCTTGCAGCTCTGAGGTGCCTTCATCCCTCTTTTTTCCACCTTCTTCTGTTCCTGCTTTTCCCAACCTCTAATTTTCCTGTCAGCGTTAATTTATGCACAGCAACGTTTCCTCCCCCCTCTTTCTCCCGTTTGTAACTCAGAATAAAGTTCTTTTTTTCCCTCATTGACATTCCTGGTGGATTGTGAGGAGTCAAAGACTCTTCCCAGGACATTCCCAGCTCCCTTCCAGCTCAATAAGAACCTTCCCAGGCACCTGGAAAAGGGGTTTTCAGTTCAATTAGTGGTTAATTGGAAGGAAAAAATCAAGAATAAGGAAAAAAAATCAATAATAAGGGGAAAAAAATCAATAAAAAGGAAAAAATCAATAATAAAAAAATCAATAATAAGGAAAAAATTGATAGCAAAAAAATCAGTAATAAGGAAAAACTGATAATAAAAAATGAATAAAAAGGAAAAAATCAATAATAAAAATAATAATAAGGAAAAAATCAATAAAAAAGGAAAAATAAATAATAAAAAATCAATAATAAGGAAAAAAACAATAATAGGAAAAAACCAGCAATAAGGGAAAAAATCATTAAAAAGGAAAAAAGAAATACTAAAAATCAATGATAAGGAAAAAATCAATAAAAGGAAAAAATAAATACTAAAATCAATAATAAAAAATCAATACAAAGGAAAAACGCAATGAAAAGGAAAAATCAATCATAAAAAATTAATAAGGAAAAACAAAAAGGAAAACATCAGTAATAAAATTAATAATAAGGAAAAGTCAATAATGGGAAAAAATCAGCAATGTGGAAAAAATCAATAAAAAGGAAAAAATAAATACTAAAAATTAATAATAAGAAAAAATTAATTAAAAATCAATAAAAAGGAAAAAACCAATAAAAAGGAAAAATTAATAAGAAAAAATTAATAAGGAAAAATAAAAAGGAAAACATCAGTAATAAATTAATAATAAGGAAAAGTCAATAATAGGAAAAAATCAGCAATATGGAAAAAATCAATAAAAAGGAAAAAATAAATACTAAAAATCAATAGTAAGAAAAAATCAATAATAAAAAAATCAATAAAAAGGAAAAACTTAATAAAAAGGAAAAATAAATAAGAAAAAATTAACAAGAAAAAATCAGTAATAAAAAAATCAATAATAAGGAAACATCAATATAAAGGAAAAGGTAATTTAAAAAATAATAAGGAAAAATCAATAATTAAGAAGTAATGGAAAAATAATGGGAAATAATAAAATGTTGAGAAAGTTGGGTGGATCTACTTGGACATGCAGGGAAAGGGGAGATTCCATGGGAGCTCTAACCCAGAGAGCTCAAAAATGATGGAGTTTGCCCCCCAAAAACAGGCTGTTCCAGGGTTAAACTTCTCCTCCAGCGACAGCTCTGGAAAACCTGCTGTTTTGCAACATTTTCCATCCACGAGTCGTATTTTTGGGATTTCTGTCCCCAGATGAACGAGGTTTTCCACTCCAACATCCAGGAGGGCATCAGGCACTACTACGATGACCTGGACTTCAAGAACATCCTGGATTTTGTGCAGCAAAAGGTTTGGTTGGAGGGGGAGTCACCTCAGGGGGGGTCTGACGGCGGATTTTCCAAGGAATTCTTGACTCCACTCACCCCTGAAGCACAAACTTTCCTTCTCACTGTGCTTTTAGAGTTTGTTCCCAGCCTCTGGCTGCTCTGCTTGGAACATCTTGACCTGGTTGGGTTTGCAGGGGGGTTTTTTTGGGCACTTCTGCTCCCCAGGGGGGTTTTTGGTGAGTCCTTCTGACGTCTGTGTAGCTGCAAAGAGCATCTCCTGCTCCTCACCAGCCGCTCCAGGATATTTATATTCCCGGGTTTTGGTGGGAAATTGGGACCTAAAGCCTGGGAGCTTTTTTGGGTCTTCCCCAACCTGCTCAGGGGGAGGTGAAGAGGTAAAATAACATGTGCTGGAGCTGCTTCAGGGCTACAGAGACCCTTAGAGGGGCACCTTGGGTGGGTCTTCTGGCTCAGGTGTCACCAGGACCTGGCCAAGCCCTTGTTCCCGTGGGAAAATTGGAGATTTTCTGGAAGAAGAGGTGACCTCCACAGCATCATTTAGGTTGGGAAAGCCCCCCAAGATCCTCTAAGTCACCAAATCACAGAATATTGGGAGGTGGGAGGGACCCCCGAGGATCAACAACTCTTTAAGTCCTGTTTAAGTCCAACCCAGCACTGCCAAGCCCACCCTAAACCACGTCCCCAAGTGCCACATCTGGGTATTTGGGGGATGTGGTTTTGCTCATATTTTGAGGATATTTGGTTTATCCATTATTGGAGTCACTGTGGAGGGACCACTTGGCTCAAAGCATTTGATAAATGGGAAAAAAAAAAGTGGAAAACCCTCAAAACTTGAGGTGCAGGAGGAGAATTTCAGGGATTTTCTGTCTCCTGGATTGGCTGAGGAGAGCAGAGCTTTCCCAGCAAAGCTCTTTCAGTTCTCCCCTCAGCCCAGTTTCTCTCCTTTCATTATGAAGCATCATAAATCTGGGAGTCTTTTGTTTCTCTTTGAAGAAAAGGTGATTTGAAGCTCCTTCCTCTTTGATGTGGTTGGAATTTAAGGCCCTCTGAGCTCTCCTGTCTTGGATTAAATCCCTGCTCTTGCCTTTGGAGCCAGCCTTGCTGAGCTGAGCTCATTAATCAGGCTGAAAACCCTCTGAAGGTCTCAGGTCCTGCCCAATTCTGAGCAAGATCAGAATATTTTCCAAGTTTTACTCTAACCACCCCAAAAGGAGGCTGGAATTCCGACCTCTGG